AAAATACAAAAAAATTAGCCAGGCATGGTGGCAAGTGCCTGTAGTCCCAGCTACTCTGGAGGCTGAGGCAAGAGAATAGCGTGAACGCAGGAGGCAGAGCTTGCAGTGAGCCAAGATCGTGCCACTGCACTTCAGCCTGGGCAACAGAGAGAGACTTTCTCGCAAAAAAAAAAAAAAAAAGAGAGAGAGAGAGGGTTTGGGTATTAGCCCAGGCTAAATAGTGTCACTCACAGGCATCGGCTCAGGCCAGGCTCCTCTAGCCCAGTGTGTGGCCCTGGCCCAAAGGCCAGGCGTGCGCCAGGGCTGGCTGAACTGCCAGCGGTTGGTCATTGACGAGATCTCAATGGTGGAGGCAGACCTGTTTGACAAACTGGAGGCCGTGGCCAGGTCAGTATGTTCAGAGGGCAGCAGGTGAAAACTGGGAACTGGTGGTCTTCTGTGTGCCCCTAAAGCACCCCACGCTCCTCTCCAGAGCCGTCCGGCAGCAGAACAAGCCATTTGGAGGGATCCAGCTCATCATCTGTGGGGACTTTCTGCAGCTGCCACCTGTGACCAAGGGCTTCCAGCCCCCACGGTTCTGCTTCCAGGTACTACTCACCTCCTAGCTCTGCTCTCCTTAGGGGTCTGCTCTGCTCCTTGACCCATCCCCACCCTGCTCCCATCAGGCCAAGAGCTGGAAGAGGTGTGTGCCAGTGACCCTGGAGCTGACCAAGGTGTGGAGGCAGGCAGATCAGACCTTCATCTCTCTACTGCAGGCTGTGAGGCTGGGCAGGTGAGCTCTGCTGGATGGGGAAGGGGCTATGGGATGAGGATCCAGGCATGGGCCACAGTGGAACACAGGGAGAGACCCAGGGAAAGGGGAGAATGGTTACCCTGAGGAGCAAGCACTCCATGCAGGAAGAGCAGCCTTGGGCATGGCACTGGGCAACTCAGGATGGATTGTAGTCAAGACCTTCATGGCCCCATAGGAGATGGTCGCTCTGTGAGTGCCGGGACCCAGCCTCCCTCAGGGTTGGGTCTCCATCACCTAGTACAAGGCCTGACATTAAGTAGGTGTCAGAGGGTGGGCGCAGTGGCTCACACCTGTAATCCTAGCACTTTGGGAGGCTGAGGCAGGTAGATCACGAGGTCAGGAGTTTGAGACCAACCTGGCCAACCTGGTGAAACCCAGTATCTACTAAAAATACAAAAATTAGCTGGGTGTGGTGGCACGCACCTGTAGCCCCAGCTACTTGGGAGGCTGAGGCAGGAGAATCACTTAAACCCAGGAGGTGGAGGTTGCAGTGAGCTGAGATCACGCCACTGCACTGCAGTCTGGTGACAGAGCGAGACTCGTCTCAAAAAAAAAAAAGAAGAAAGAAACATAAGCTAGATTTTTCACCCAAGGTAGCAGGCAAGTAGACAGAAGATTGTACCCTGGAGGCCAGTCTGGGTCCTGCAAATCTCCTGCCTATGCTCACTCATCATAGCCAACTTCCTCGGGAGCATTATGGGGTGGGATGGTGGCCAGCTCTGACCTGGGGCAGCACAGGGAAGGGTGCCTACCTGTGATCAAAGCTCAGTACCCTTCCCCTGCTTATTCCCCATGTTTGGCGTCCAAGTTTGGAAGGGACAGGTTGGCTAGCTTGAGGGGGCAGCAACTATTCCCTGGTGCCCTCTTCCAGTCCCAAGGCCTGACCCATGGCCTGCTGCTTGAGCCATCCTGCCCATGTTCCCACCTTCCCTGCTGCACAGGTGGGCTCTGCCCTGACAGTCCAGCCCCCACAGGTGTTCAGATGAGGTGACCCGCCAGCTCCAGGCCACAGCATCCCACAAGGTAGGGAGAGATGGGATTGTGGCCACGAGGCTCTGCACCCACCAGGATGACGTGGCCCTCACCAACGAGAGGCGGCTTCAGGAGCTGCCAGGTGAGCAGGGAGCCTGGGCTGGGCAAGACCAGCTGGGAAGGGTTATAAGCAGATGTGGCCCCCAGGCAACCTGGGCCTCTGGGTCCTAGGCCCCCAACCTCTGTAGTCATAAAGATCCTTATATTTGCAAATGCAACTGTGACTTTGAGAGGTATGATGAACTAAATTCCACAGCCCCCCAGGCCTGCGTTGCCTCTACTCCTTACCCCTATGCTCTGTTCTAACAGTTTTTTTCTGGAGGCTGGGCACAGTGGCTCACGCCTGTAATCCCAGCACTTTGGGAAGCCAAGGCAGGCAGATGACCTGAAGTCAGGTGTTCAAGACCAGCCTGCCCAACATGGAAAAACCCCGTCTCTACTAAAAATACAAAAACATTAGCTAGGTGTGTTAGTGGGCGCCTGTAATCCCAGCTACTCAGGAGGTTGAGGCAGGAGAATTGCTCAAACCCAGGAGGCAGAGGTTGCAGTAGGCCAAGATCGCACGATTATACTCCAGCCTGGGCGACAGAGCGAAACTCCATCTCAAAAAATAAAATAAAATTTAAAAAAAAAAAAAAAAGTCTTTTTTGGGATACTGAGTCACAAGTCAGTGATTTGTGATCTGCTTGCGCAACTCTTTTTCTCCAGGTAAGGTACACAGATTTGAGGCTATGGACAGCAACCCTGAGCTGGCCAGTATCCTGGATGCCCAGTGTCCCGTTAGCCAGCTCCTTCAACTAAAGCTGGGGGCCCAGGTGAGTGGGAAGCAGGACCTAGCCCCTGGGAGCTTCGGCTGTCCCTCATGGGCCTTGCTGATCCCTACCCCTCTGCCCAGGCCACTCTACAGCCAGTGGGTCCAGCTTTGACCACACTGAAAACCTCCCTGCCTCCTGTTCCCACCCACCTTCCCATCTTCAGCTTTCTACTGTTTTTCTCTATCTACACCAGGAGGTCCTCCAGACAGTGTTGTTTTGGGCAAGTTTCTTTCCCCTGAAGCTGTCCCCTCATCCCTAAAACTGGGGAATGAAATACCTACCCCACATAGCTGTCTTCTGTAGTATACTTTATAAATAGGAGAGAGTCCTGATTCCTCCCCCGATGTTAGGGGTGGGCAGAAGATTTTCCTTAGGGCACCCAAGGGGAAAATACAGGCACAGTGTATCTGAGAGGGGTGGCAGGACCTAGAGGCCATCCCTCAAGATTTGTGGTCCACACATGTACCTATAACAGAGCCAATATTTTCAAAGCCCTGTAATAGAGGTTGCCTTATTGATCCCTTACCACCTCCTTCTGGGGCAAATGGAGCAAGTATTATTCCTCTTTGACATAAAGGAAAACTGGGACCGAGGAAAATAAGGCAACTTGCCGCAGGGGTCACAGGCAGCCAGTGGCAGAGCTAAGGATTGGGATTCAGTGTCCCCATGACAACTCCCTGCCCTCAGCCTCTGAGAACAGCAATGGCTAAGCTAAGACCAGGCATGGGTAGGGGGGCTGCTGTCCATTCCTCTCCCTCCCTTGCAGGTGATGCTGGTGAAAAACTTATCGGTGTCTCGGGGCCTGGTGAATGGCGCCCGAGGGGTGGTAGTCGGGTTCGAGGCAGAAGGGAGAGGTAAGTGTTGGGAGCAGGTGGCAGTCCTACTACAGGGTTTGCAGCATGGCCCCCAGAATGGTGGGGGGAGAAAAAGACTAGGAAGGAAAGCTCCAAAGGCCCCCCTGCTCCTCACCTCAGAGCCCTGAAGCAGAGCTAAAGTTAGACTGCTTCATGCCCTCAGGGCTACCCCAGGTGCGGTTCCTGTGTGGAGTCACTGAGGTCATCCGCGCTGACCGCTGGACGGTGCAGGCCACTAGGAACCAGCTCCTCAGCCGGCAGCAGCTGCCCCTCCAGCTGGCCTGGGCGATGTCCATCCACAAGAGCCAAGTGAGCACCGGTGTGGGGGGTGGGGACAGGGCAGGCAGAGGGAGGTCAGGCATGTTGGGGTCTATGTGTCTTTTTTTTTTTTTTTTTGAGACAGAGTCTTGCTCTGTCGCCCAGGTTGGAGTGCAGTGGCGTGATCTTGGCTCACTGCAACCTCCGCCTCCCGAGTTCAAGCGATTCTCCTGCCTCAGCTTCCTGAGTAGCTGGGACTACAGGCATGTACCACCATGCCTGACTAATTTTTGTATTTTTAGTAAAGATGAGGTTTCACCTTGTTAGCCAGGATGGTCTCGATCTCCTGACCTTGTGATCCGCCCGCCTCGGCCTCCCAAAGTGCTGGGATTACAGGCGTGAGCAACTGCACCCGGCCCTTTTTTTTTTTCCCCCACCATTTTCTAAGCCACTACTAGATACGTTAAATTGTATAAATTGTATACAACCATTGTATAAAGTATAGATATAATGAATAATCAATACTATTTTGCACAGAAAAAAAACAGAACTCAGAGAGGTTAAGGAACATGTCCCATGTTACACAGTTAGTGAGTGGCAGCCTGGATTCAGCTCCACGCCTGTCTGACCCAGAGCCTGAGCTCTTTTCTTTCACTCCATCCCTCAACTCTTACCTGGATCTGTGTCCCCCAGTTCCCCTCCTACTCAGACCGCCACCTGCTGTCATGCTCTCCCTCTGTCTAGAGACTCTCTGGACTGGACAAGGAGATCCAGGGGCAGTAGCAGGGCTGGTAAAGAGTCAGGTCCTTCAGGGCAAGGGACTTCAGACTGAGCTGGCTCCCTCTCTGTCCCTGCATCCCCCAGGGCATGACCCTGGATTGTGTGGAGATTTCTCTGGGCCGTGTGTTTGCCAGTGGCCAGGCCTACGTGGCCCTTTCCCGGGCCCGTAGCCTGCAGGGCCTACGTGTGCTGGACTTTGACCCTGTGGCGGTTCGCTGTGACCCCCGAGTGCTGCACTTCTATGCCACGCTGCAGCGGGGCAGGGGCCTCAGTCTGGTGAGAGGGAGTCCTCTAATGGTGGGCTGTGGCCATAGGTGGGGTGGGAGCTAGGACAGAGGGAGGGCCCAGTGGGACCTGGGGTGGGGGCAGGAGAGCCCTCTACTGGCTCCTTTAGGGGTGAGGGCAAGAGGAAAGAGATGCTGGCCCCCAGGTTATGGCCCTGGGGAACAGCACAAGCCCATGACTGGGCTTCTCTGGCTCTGATCCAGGAGTCCCCAGATGATGATGAGGCAGCCTCAGACCAGGAGAACGTGGACCCAAACCTCTGAGCCTCACCTGCAAAGAGAAGACAAAGGGTGGCCTCCCTGTCCTCCTGCTCCCTAGTGGGCCAGGGCCCCAGGGAATAACTGGAGGAGGCGGGCAGTGTCCCCTTCTGTATTTTTTAGGGGCTCTCAGGCTCCTGGCAGGGTTAAAGGGAGAGTGCTTTAAACCCATGTACCAGCTGTGCTTCAGTTTGCCCTGGGTGAGTTGCTTCAGGGTCCGAAGTAACCCTTTCTGTGCCAGTTGAGAAAGAGCCTGTGTGGTAGCTGGGGTTAGAGGACAAAGCTCCCTGCAAGGGCTGGACACAGAGCTGCAGAGTCCTGAACATCCCTCCTTTCGGGCTGCAGAAGGGAGCAACAATGAAGACAGGTGCTCTGGAAGCAGCGTCAGGGCTTTCGGAGGGGACCTGGGGGGGACTCAGGCTGGGTACAGCCTCCAAACAGAGAACGGAACTTAGGTATGTCTCCACGGCTAGGCCCAGCCCAGCCCAGCCCAGAACAAACACCCTTCAGAGCCTAACTGAAGAACATAAGCTGCAAAATGTGCACCCATATTTTAAGCTGCTTTTTCAGGGGATAAATAGTGTTTGGGGACATTGAAATGGATGTTCTCATGTTGTATTTATTTTGGACAAATAAACTAGAGAATTGTGTAAAAAGTGTGCCTCTTGCCTCCTCTCTCTCCGTCTCACTTGTGCACGTGCACATAGGCATTTGCTTAGGCCACAGTGGCTGAAATCACACCCTTCTGTGGGGTGGTCTTAGTATCACTGGTCATTTGAAAAGCTGAGTTATCTGATGTTGGTGACTAGCAATAAAATGACATTGTCACTGGGCATGGTGGCTCACGCCTGTAATCCCAGCACTTTGGGAAGCTGAGGAGGATGGATCACCTGAGATCGGGAGTTCGAGACCAGCCTAACATGGAGAAACCCGTCTCTACTAAAAATAGAAAATTAGCCAGGCATGGAGGTGCATGCCTGTAATCTCAGCTACTCAGGAGGCTGAGGCAGGAGAATCTCTTGAACCCAGGAGGCGGAGGTTGCAGTGAGCCGAGATTGTGCCATTGCACTCCAGCCTGGGCAACAAGAGCGAAACTCTGTCTCAAAAATAAAAGAAATGACATTGTCCTTTGGTGAAGGTGAGTTACTATCACCCAATAGTCAGACAAGGACATACTAGAGAATTCACGTGGTGGGAAACAAACAGGCCTGCTATATGTTGCTGCATTTGCTAGGATCCTCGGTTGAAATTTCTGTTTGAGCCTTGCTGATCTCCCCAGCTTGAACCTGATCATCAACAAACTAACTTCAGTTTTTCAAAAAGCCTGATAGAAACAGGGATCCTCATAGGTTAGCTAAAACTAAGATTCTCTGCTTGTGAGCAAAAAGGTATAAATTCTGGGTGGTAAACACAGGTTATGGTGGAGGCACACATTGGCAGCTACAGGTGTCAGATTCATAAAAAAGATGGTCAGGGCCGGGCGCAGTGGCTCACGCCTGTAATCCCAGCACTTTGGGAGGCCGAGGTGGGCGGATCACGAGGTCAGAGATCGAGACCATCGTGGATAACACGTGAAACCCTGTCTCTACTAAAAATACAAAAAAATTAGCCAGGCATGGTGGTGGGTGCCTTAGTCCCAGCTACCCTGGAGGCTGAGGCAGGAGAGTGGTGTGAACCCAGGAGGCGGAGCTTGCAGTGAGCTGAGATGGCGCCACTGCACTCCAGCCTGAGCAACAGAGAGAGACTCCGTCTCAAAAAAAAAAAAAAAAAAAAAAAAGAAGAAAGAAACATAAGCTAGATTTTTCACCCAAGGTAGCAGGCAAGTAGACAGAAGATTGTACCCTGGAGGCCAGTCTGGGTCCTGCAAATCTCCTGCCTATGCTCACTCATCATAGCCAACTTCCTCGGGAGCATTATGGGGTGGGATGGTGGCCAGCTCTGACCTGGGGCAGCACAGGGAAGGGTGCCTACCTGTGATCAAAGCTCAGTACCCTTCCCCTGCTTATTCCCCATGTTTGGCGTCCAAGTTTGGAAGGGACAGGTTGGCTAGCTTGAGGGGGCAGCAACTATTCCCTGGTGCCCTCTTCCAGTCCCAAGGCCTGACCCATGGCCTGCTGCTTGAGCCATCCTGCCCATGTTCCCACCTTCCCTGCTGCACAGGTGGGCTCTGCCCTGACAGTCCAGCCCCCACAGGTGTTCAGATGAGGTGACCCGCCAGCTCCAGGCCACAGCATCCCACAAGGTAGGGAGAGATGGGATTGTGGCCACGAGGCTCTGCACCCACCAGGATGACGTGGCCCTCACCAACGAGAGGCGGCTTCAGGAGCTGCCAGGTGAGCAGGGAGCCTGGGCTGGGCAAGACCAGCTGGGAAGGGTTATAAGCAGATGTGGCCCCCAGGCAACCTGGGCCTCTGGGTCCTAGGCCCCCAACCTCTGTAGTCATAAAGATCCTTATATTTGCAAATGCAACTGTGACTTTGAGAGGTATGATGAACTAAATTCCACAGCCCCCCAGGCCTGCG